GAAGGGTTCTAAATATACATCCTCTTCAGCATGCATGGTAGCCTGGTAAATGTCAATTCAATTACACAGTCTCATCAGAGAAAAATGTCTTACTGATCTATTTGGTCCTGTATTAAATAAATATTAGATTGATTTCTACATGCACAGCCCCTAATGGCCGATGCACTAGTGATGAATGGATGCATGATACCCAAAGGCTGAAAGAAATGCAATAATTTGGTTCTTTGTGATTCTAAAAAAAGTTTAGATATGCAAGCACAGAGATCATATCCACATACGTAGCCAGACCTAGGTTGATATTTGTAGCTACAGAATATAGGTAGATTTCAACCATAAGAAATGATGGAACAGAACTAGAATAGATATAAGACCCTTTAAGACCAAGAGTATGCCAGGGCAGGCACAGATCATAACAAATGAACTTTCAGCAATATTTAAGAGGCCAAAGATTCAGATTAAAGGTTGGTTTTTTTTCAGTTTGGCTTACTAAAACAGAAAAATCTACAAAGAATTAGTAAAAAAAACCCCACAAAAACGGGTAGGATATAGGAAATGAATGATGTCACTAGTCCTATGAAAGCTTTTTTTTTTTTTTTATAGAAACAGATACCATATTTACTTGAAAACAAGACAAGTTTCCCCCCCCAGTCAGCATGGGGATAAATGGGTAAAGAGGCCACCTGACCACCCAGCTTTATTTTCCTGGTAGTAGTAGTGGGAAGGGGAGAAATTCAAGGCAAACCTCCAATAATTAGATTCTATACCTGGAAAAATATAACAAATGTATATTTTTTCCATATACAGAATCTAATTATTGAGGATTCATCTTATATTTGAGTAACTACAGTATGTTTCATATTAAATAAAATGGCTTTAGGACTTTAGGGAGCTTATTGAATAGCTTTCAAAGGAAATCACTGAGTTTATTCTTTTAAAAACAAGAAATAAAAGGTATCCATTGTTCCATTCAGTTTTAAGACTGGAACTTATTTAGGTGGTTAAAGTATGATGTTGTACTTGTCTATTCACCTCTTTTATCTTTTGTTCTAAAGATAGTATATACCACTGAAAAAAAATGGGCCTCACAGCTCTGAAGTACTTAAACTCTGTGGAATGTCATTTTATACTGCAGGAGATGGAAACATTGGAGCATATTGCATCTGAAGCACTTGTATGCATTTTCAACAGGAACTCAGTAACCAAGATACTAAATTAGTAGAGCAGTATATTCCGGTGTGACTTGTTTCCTGCTATGATAGAAATATGAAATTCCCTACTTCCCCTCTCCCCAGCAATCCTAACTGATTAGTTTTTAGTATCATAGCATCATGTGCAAGCCTTTTAGATCTTAACAGGGAAGCCCCCTCAAGCCAGAAAACTGCACCCAGTTTATCAACACTGAACAAACCTTCAGCAACCTTGTAAGAAGGTTATACTATTACAAAATATTATAGTGGTTCCTTCTGGTCCTTGCTGGATCTTTTGGGTCCCTAGGAGCCATCTGTTAGAGATTTCTATGAACAGGGATTCCTCCTACTCCTGTTTCCCCTGGGATAGAAAGATACTGGGATTTACTAGTGACTTAGCAACCAAGTCAGGCAGCTCTGTTAAGGCCAGGTGTTCACATAGAGAGGTGTTAAATTCAAGAGGCATGGAGAGAATCTGGCTGGTTTGAAATGGGGGTGAGGGTTTGGGAGCATAAAAGGTAGTAGAACAGATGATGCATTCCAGTGAGCTTTTAGAAAGGAGCTAAGACAGACATTTTCTCATAATGCCTATGTCTGCTCAACTATTTATTTAGGGCCAGATTGTAAACTTTCTAAGTTATTTTTGATAAACTATTTATATAAATAAGGCTACTGGCATCAATTCTGAACACAGGCTAGGGACAGAAGTTACACATAAATTGGTTAAAGTGATCAGAAACTGGTTTAAATCTGTAACAGAACAGAAGCTCAGTTCATACAAGCCAGTTTCAAAATGGCTGAAACTGGTATAAGAAAAACCTGGCTGAATGTAGTAGCAGACTTAATTGATTTGGGTCAAATGAGTTTATGAAATTTCTGTCCCAGACCTTATTCTCAGGAGAGGTGACTGTCACAACCCAAAGTTGTGGTTTTTTTGTTTTTGTGTGCTTCGGCACCGCTAAATTATGTTCCCGCCAAATTGCAGCTTTTTTGCACGGTAGAGTTTTCTGCTGCAATAGGAGAACCCGCGTGCAAAAGAGTATTTCCCGCCGTTTGTAGCCTTCTTTGCATGGCGCATTTCTTTTGCATCATAGTGATGCACAGTGCAAAGGAGTTCCCGCCATTTGTATTTAGATTCGTGCCACATTATTGGCCGGTTCTAAATGTAGGCATACGTGGTGGCTAGGTATTGGCTTGCTAGCCATACAAAAGGCTTGGGTAGTTTCCGCCCAAGTCGGAGAGAGAGGAAACCTGGAGAGATACAGAACTCGCCAGGAGGAGGAGACTTCGCGCTGTGTGAAGTTCTCCAAGCAATGTGGACCCTTGCGGACCCAACGCACCTTTCTTAAGCAGGCAACGGAGGTCTGTTTAGCTTCTAGCCTCTCCCCGTCACCGAGCGCAATCCTAGACGTATCCCTATCCTATATACCCAATTTTCGAACCCACGGAGTCTTAACAGCTCCGGGGGACCTGGGAACTGAACAGAACCCACGGAGATTCAGCCACTCCGTGAGGAAAGAATTGCCGAACCCGCGGAGCCTAAACCACTCCAGGGTCAAAGAACTGAGTTTGTCAGAGTCCTCCAACGAGGATTCAAGCGGAGCTGTGCCTGGAAAGCTGTCCAGCCTACACCACGACCACCTTGGGTGTAAGTAAATAATCTTTTCAATCAACCATTACACCTCCGTAACTGATTCTAGCTCGCACGTACCTTACCACCCCGCGGTTTTCTTCGGCCCCGCGTGCCCGGGCTGCTGGCCACAGTCCGTGTGCGCAAACACGGGCCCGGCTCGCACATGGCGAGGATGGGATAGGGAGCTGGCCCGCACAGTGACTTCATCAATATGTGAAAATGGTTCTCAATCTGACTCTTTACACAGAGATTCTGATTGTCTATATTAGAAATATTGGTGGTAATTTGGGACAACAACATTTTATTGAGTCACAAGTGAGTAACTATCTCTTGGAACTTTGTTGTGTAGAATAGGCCACAGTCTGAGTTAGAATCAAAACTCAGTACTAGAACTCTTTTCCTTTTTTATAACAAAGAAGAAAGAAACAAAGAAATAAAAGAAAAGAAAGCAAGAAACACTGGCTGAACCAGTGACTTTCTGGTACCAGAACAATTCAGACTTTACTCCCAGGCATCTGTAGTAACATTCATCACTGCAGGAAACTGTGGTCATTAGTAAGTGTAATATTATTCCACTAAGCCCAAAAGGTGGTGCTGTAGTCTGCAGTCACTGCAGAATGACAAATATTATGTTTTCTCTAACTGTAATTTCTTAAAACTAAGATGAATCCAAGGGTGTATTTTAAAAATACATGCTTGAGTTAAGGGAAGTGCGGTAACAAATATTTTCACATGCTAGCTGTGTCCCCCTATATCTTACTTCAGTCTGTAATTGAAAAATTTTGAATAACAGTCATGGACTCAGGATATACAATTTGTCCTGTTTTTTTTAAAAAAACGGTTCATTTCAGTTCTTGTTACTAATCCTTTGGAAGCTTGGATGTATTAACATTTTTATCTAACCAGTCATTCTTCTCTCTTGAAGTAGACCCTGACTTTGTTTTTCCAAATACATAGTGACATTTATGATAGCTCATAGACAAAGATGATGGATGAATGGGTCAGTGATTTTTTTTTTTAATGTAAGTAAAGTAGTTTTAAAGATACAACCTAAAAGTAGAGGACATTATTGCATAGAATTCAAAGCTTTTTCCTCTGGTTTCTAGTGGCTTTTTATTAGATCACTTCAAACATACCAACTGAGAGTTTCTTATTAGTCTCCATGATTATGTATTGTTTACAATATATTTTTTGAATATCAGATGTACAGTTTCCCTAAAATGAGATAAAAGCCACCGGGAATTCAGGTAACACATCTCACATTGTGAAGTCATACTACTGTATCTCTTCTAGTGAGCTGTGGCCTTGTAAATGATTTCTTTGTTTTTATTATTCTCTAAGCTTTTTATCTGAATTTAAGATTAACTTTCAAACTCATGTAACTTGGGTACACTCAAGGGTGTGCGCTATTGTCAGTGGGATGGGTAGGCAGGAGTGGGTGCTGTGAGATGGATGCCAGAATTTCGAGCGGATCCCTCTTTCCTCTATAGGGTTAGCCCAAGCCCAAAGTTCTTAACTATATACAATTTATTGAGTTACCAACATATATATATAAAACTCTTTAAGATAGATATAATTACAGATAGAGATACAAATATACATATAAAGGTCTGTTAGCTGGAGGAAGTTGGCCGTAGGGAGGGCATTCGGGTAAGTACCCGTGCCTCAGGCCCAGAAGAGGGGTGGATCCCAGGACAGTCAATCCAGCAAGTTTATACCACAAGTGGGTTAGCTAATAAAGACATCCTTATAGAGCCCATTATAGAGAATTAATAAACCCAACTATTTATAACACCAACCATAACAATAGATACCAAATAGAAAACATAACTATACTAGATATTAGACGTACTCTATCTGGGTTCCGCCCACTTGGTCCCTCAAATGGGACAGGGTCTTCTCCCTCTAGGCCCAGTCCCCCC